GGGTTTGGTTTTGATCATCCACCTAGGCTATACCCCTTCAGGGTCCTCACTTAGCATGGGATACAGATTTTCTCTGGCTTTGGGCCCTATTCTGTGAGACAAATGCCTTTCCATCTTGCTAACTGCCTAAGTTCTAAATGAAAAGCACTTCTCTTTCCAAGAGCATATTTTCTTTTCCATTATATTCCCTGACAGTTTGCCCTCTCAACTCTTCATTGAACAAACTCTATATATAAGGTAAACCTTGCTCTCCCTAAAACAAGGTATGCAGTATACGTGAAGAGCCCTAAACATCTTTAAAGGACAGCTCTTCTTTTTCTATGTTAAGTGCATCTCAAATGACTAGCCCCATTCCACGGGCAATGGCATGACTGTACTCACAGAATCTTAGGTGTACAGAAAGTTGGCACTGAAAGGTATCTTAAATAACATTTCTTTCAACTCCTGAACTTTGAAATGGAAAAAAACTAATATGCAGGGGAATCCAAAGGCTCTGCAAGGACACACAGGGCCTTGTTCCCAACTTTTAAATGCTCTCAGTCTCTGGGTCTCCCCATCTTCTATTTGTTTCCTCCCTTTCCTATGGGGGATGGTTAGCACAATGCCTATCATCTAGACTTGGTTTTTATTTGAACCCTACCAAAAAAAAAAAAAACACCAAACACACTCACTGCTGTTGAGTCAATCCAGACTCACAGAGATCCCTCCCCTTGAGTTTCCGAGGTGGTATCTCTACAGAAGTAGATTGCCCAATCTTCCTCCCAAGGAGTGACTGACTAAAGGGTTTGAACTGCCAGACTTCCGTTAGCAGTCAAATGCCTTAGGCACTATGCCACCAGAGCTCCCACAGAGGGCGCTAAATGAACTCATCACTCTGAGAATATGATGCATGGCATAGGTCTCCTCTGCATGATGCTGAGTGACCAGTGTGTAACTAATTGCTCCCCAGTGGTACTTAACCACCCACTTAGAGATTCAAATTTCCCTTCATGCACATCCCACTGGCAGATGGTCTCGTTATACTTCTAAATGTGCTAACCCATTTGCCTGCTGCATTATAAACCTTATCATTCAATTAGAGAAAGAATGTAGACTGAGCTATCATCAATTACATCCTATTTGAAAATTGCCCATTCTCATCATGAGACTGGGATTCCTCTCTACCAGTTAAATCTCAGCAATTTTCTTATTTATAGTTTTTAGTTTTATTTTTAAGACTCAGTTTACATGGCATCACAGCAGAACAGCATCTGATCATCATATACCATGTAAATCAGACTGCCTTAATTTAGCAACCATGCAGATATTAACAGAAAGAGTAAATATTCCTTTTAAATAAAATGAAAACCCGAAGTCCAACTTTGGAGTCCTCTGATGTATATCTGCATGTTTTCCCTGGGTGGTGCAAACAGTTTGCACTTGTCTACTAACTGAAAGTTTGGCAGTTCAACCCCCTCCCCAGTGGTACCATGGAAGAAAGGCCTGACAATTTGCTTCAAAGAGATTACAGCCAAGAAAATCCTGTGGAGCTCAGTTCTACTCTGTAACGCACAGGGTCACCTTGAGTCACAACTCACTCAGTGGCAATGGTGGATAGGAGACCTTCATGTTTCATAATATATTGACTAATGTATTAAAACATTATACATATAATATATTAAAGCATTATACATATATACATATAAAAGTTCATATATATATGGAGATAAACTTATGGTTGAACATAAATTGAGAATAAAAAGTTATTCATCCTCTTTATTTATATATTTGCTTCATTTATAAAATTATAATGAAAATATGCAAGTGTATAGATATTTTCTATAGATGACTGAATTAAACTAAAATAAATTTTATGTCATAATTTGTGACAAAGAAGGGTCCTAAGTAAGTAATTGCTTTCTTGATAAACCTTTAGAAGAGGATTAATAAAAATTCATTAAGAAGACAAAAGGCTGATCATATCAGCCAAATTACATGCTTATATTCCTTTCTTTTATACATCAAAACACATCATCAGTGTACTTAGGTACTTTCTGAATGGCAGCAAAATTAATCAGTCTGCTAATCTTTGGAAAATAGAAAATTATTAAAGGCTCAATGATAAGATTATGTAAATTAGAAAACATTTCAAGAAGGCATCATTAAGTATTTACTGAGCAAAGGAGCAAAACCATTATCCACATACTAATATAAAAAATATATATGCTATTTTCTACAGCTGCAGAACTAAACTACAAATCTATCCTCTTTCACAAAAGCCCTTTGATAGTGAATTTCATGGACAGCAGTAGAGTCACTGAGTTCATTCATGAATGAACAGATATACAAGAATAAGGGACCTGATTATCTTGGGGGAGTGATGGCTGCAACCAGAGCCATGGAGGTAACTCAGTGCATGGAACATGCCAAAACTGAGAAAAGACAAATTTGAGGGGAAGACATACATTGAGAAGAACCAAAAGACCTTTCTAGTTCAGGAATCAGAACAGAAAGATTCTCCACCTTAGGCAAACGTAGGAACAAATTCTTGAGTAGTAAGTAAGGGAAATACCTTGGCCTCTGCTGACATGGAAGGGATCTGGAAGGAACACCAGGATCTGGGATTAAGGGGGAGGCCAAAGTCATGAATTTGGATTAAAGAATTGCCTACTATATAAATAAGAAGAGTGCCTTGAGACTGTGTCCCTGGACAAAGTGCACATGTAAATCAGCATTAAGGTAGCAAAAATCCAGGAGTCACAAAGTAAAGGCCATTAAGGAAAGAAGAGACATCAGAAAGGACTTAGAAACTGGAATTGCTGCCCTTGAAATTTATAAGTTTTGCTGGATGTCAAGAAAATCTCAGATGCCTTTTTATAGAAAAAGAGGTTATAATCTATTAGTAGTGATTATTTATATCAGCAAGATATAGGCAGTTAATATCTCCAATAACTTTTTGACAAAACATTTTTCTCAGTTATTGAATTATAAGGCTGTAAGTAGTGTTTCTGGGAAATTATAAACACAGGGAGAAGTTGAGAAAGTGCTGTTACATTGTGGGGACTGCATTCAATGTCAGTAAATAAAACATGTATGAACAGTTGAATGGAAAACCAATTTGCTCTGTAAATTTACACTCAGATCACAATAAAAAGGTTAAAAAAAAACTTTTTTAAAAAATTGGACTATGCTCAAGTGTAAGCCACAAAAAAAAAATCAATATATAAATATCAAAAGTAATACTGTACTAAATACTACATCTGGCAAAATGTTGTCTCCTAAATTTCTGAAATACTTTTTTCCCAGTACATCATATCACTTTTGGTGACTATGTATCAGTTTAACTGATCACCAGGATCCTGTGAATAAGAATGTTTTTCTCCTAAAAGTCTCTGGAGCAGCACTTACAATTCTCACTCTCCCTCACGTTGTAACATTTAACTGGAAAACAGAGCCTGTATGTTCTTGTTTCTGGACATGTGAAAGAGTATTGGAGCAACAGGAGGGAAAACTGTTAACATTGGTGCTGGCAACTACTTGCTTTGTTGTTGTTGTGAGGTGCCTACGAGTCAGTTCTGACTCACAGGGACGTTAAGTACAACAGAATGAGACATTGTCCGGCCTTGCACCATCCTCACAATCATAGCCATGTTTGAACCCATTGTTGCAGCCACTGACTCTCCATTTTACCAAAGATGAGGTCCTTCTCCAGGATTGCTCCCTTCTGATAACCTGTCCAAAATGCATGAGACATATTTTGCTTTCAACTTATGATACCGACACTTCATGGGTCAACCAATACCCCTGGACCCCAACATTCTTCCTATCAGTGTCAAAATCTAAACTTCTGTCATGCAGAACCTCAAAAAGGAAGAGTGACACAAACACCAATGACTGTATAATACAAATGCTTTGAGGTGCTCATAAAATCATGGTAATTATGCCCACTCCCTCCATCACAAACACCTTGAGGTTATTCTAGATATCACAACTCTAAAACCAAAAAACCAAACCCACTGCCATTGAGTCAATTCCAACTCATAGAGACCCCCATCGGGTTTCTGAAGCAGTAAATCTTCACAGAAGTAGGTTGTCTGGTCTTCCTTTCACGGAGTGCCTGGTGGGTTTGAACCACCACCCTTCTGGTTATCAGTGAAATGCCTTAGGCACTATGCCACCAGAGCTCCTTAATGTCAGAACTGGGCTAGGGTAAATTGTCTCAATCATCTTGAAGGTGTGGATGGTGGAAAGATCTTTTAAAACAGCTTCTTTTGCTGTATTTCTTAAATGTTCTGGTTCTCTGACATCATCCATCTATCTGATTATAGCATGCAGTTTTGGCATTCTGCTTCCAAGAACATCACCCAGACACTTAGCACTCAGGTATTCATGCTAAATCTTAGACACTCTTTTAGTTGCTGAATAAGCTTATATTTATCTTTTCATTTTCTCATACAAGCATATAGTGAAACTAGAATGTTTGAAATGAAAATTATATTTATATACTTTTTTTTTTAACTAGTCTTAATTATAAAACATTACAGAAAAACTGCATTCTGAGATCAACTTTAATTCAGGAATTCAACTATTAACTAACACATTTTCCAGACTATGTATCTCACATTAGATTCCGTCATCTTTTTTGAAACTTAACACATAACCAACAAAACCTACAGAATGTGCCAGATGCCTTCTACCTAGATGCTGGTCCCCTTCCAGACAGCTGTACTAGTGAACAGAATTAAACCAAAGAGTTCTCATTCTGATTTTCTGTTTGTTTGTTTGTTTAAGCACTCTGTCCACATTGGGGTTTTTTTGTATTAATACATTCTAGAAAGTAAACAGAAATATATTAATTCAGATTTTCATTCTTTAAAGCTGAATAAAATCAAACCAATGTATATGACATGAATTACATACTTTGCTGTAGAACAAAGTAATTTCATTTCAGTCCTATCAGAGATTTGAGCCAGGAATATTGCTAACGATAACTATAACAATAACAAAAAGAAAATACTTACAGCCAACCATCATCATGGCTACCGAAAACATCTTCTCCACATCTGTGGTAGGAGCTATGTTTCCAAATCCTATGGTTGTAAGGCTTGTCATGGTAAAGTAGAGAGAGGAGACGTAGAGTGAGTCCTTGCTGGGTCCTCCTTCCCATATCCCTGCACTGGTATTGTATCGATACGGAGTCCCAATGCTCAAGGCCAGCTGGTACAGCCAACTGTCTATTTGGATGGTGTTGGTTACTTCATCAATGACCTCATAGTCTCCAATGCTGTACCATATGCAGGCCAGCCAGTGGGCAACCAGTCCAAACACACAGACCAGGAGCACGAGGACTGCTGCTCCATACTCTAAGTAATGATCCAGTTTCCTAGCAACACGACCCAGTCGTAAAAGGCGCACCACTTTCAAAGAACTAAAGAGACTGCTGATACCCTGTATAAAAGAGAAAAAAAAAAAAAATCAACATGATGCTTCCAGAAAAGAAATTGGGCCAAAAATACAATGGCTTACCTTCATGAACTTAATCATCCATTTACATACTAAGAGCATACTCATAATGTATATCTCTGACTTCAAGTTAAAAAAAAAAAGCCAAAATGATAAAAAAAAAGAGATACTTTCCTACTCAGAAGTAAGATATTTGTAAATTATTATATAAAACCATTTTTCAGTAGCTAGGGAAGATCATTTATTTTCATAAATAGAATATAAACAGCACAGAGAAAAACTTGTGTCAAACCAAATAAGAAAATTGCTAAAGTACAATACACAGAGTATAAAAATAAGGATGATGAATCCAGACATTTTATGTCTTCTTCCTATAAAATATCTCTACTCTAAATGGTTTCTCTTTACATCTTATTTTATAATAGCTATAAACAGCAGGACTTTTGTAAAAGAGAGCTCAATCTCACTGGTAAGCAGAAAGGAAACACCTCTGTGCACGTGGAGGGAATGAACAAAGATCTCTGTTGGCCCCACAGGCCACAACAAGTGCTAACTTTGTCCAACCAAGCAACTGGCTGCTATCCAGTCAGTTCCAACTCATGGTGACCCCGTGTGCGTCAGAACAGAACTGTACTCCCCAAGGTTTTCAATGTCTGATTTGTTTTGAAAGTAGATCACCAGGTCACACTTCCAAGGTGCCTCTGGGGGGACTCAACATCTCACCTTTTAGTTAGCAGCCAACAACATTAAGCCTTTTCACCACTACTAAATTTGCAGAACACTGAAAAAGTGAAATGAGTTGAACCTAAAATGGTCACAAAGCCTACTGAAGCCTACTATCCTTTGGCAATAGTTAGAGAAAAGAACGTCAAAAGGGAACAGCGGCAAGAAAATTCGTGTTTTGTTAAGAAGCTTAAATTACCAAATAAAGTATTGTCCAAATGAATCTAGCATAAGTTAGCAGTACTGGGCCACGTGGAAGAATTGGTAAGTGAAGTGGAAACTATGTGCCATTTATAAGAATCTAATTATGGCATCCTAAAGTTCTCTATAGTTTTTGTTTTGTTATACTATGCTCTATACTTTTGTACATGCTTGAAACACTAAAAATTAGGACATTTTTAAAGGGTAAATCAGTAAAATTCAGAAAAATTGGCATAATTCAGGGTTATGAGAGGGTGAAAGGTAAAAAGATTCAAGAGGGTTGGGATGTCCTCAAAAAATGGAACTGTGGAATCATGAATAATACAAACAAAAATAAGCATCTACTGAGTAGTTACATGGCAGGCTCTGAGTCAGGCCCTGGGGACATTAAGATACATATGCCTGTTTCTGTGCTAAAGAAGCCCACAATTGGCATGTGTGAAAAACTCAAACAGGTAAATTTAAAAATAAAAAATATTGCCGTACATGAAGTTTAGCTCAAATTTCTACAGGAACTATGGAACTTCTCTTTATATATTACAGAGAAAAGTCATTTCTAAATGAACAACTAAAAACAAAGACAGGAACAGAGGAATCATCCTCATTCAAACTGAAAACCAGCTTCAACTCCAAACTAGACCGTGAAGAATGGGTCCTACTAGAATTTGGTCCAACCAGTAGGAGCACTCACTCCCCTGCTCTCTGGCATGACACCTAAAGGAAGTGGACTATCCTGAGAAGCAGCTGCTCATGACTCCATTCAATCACAAAACACATTTTCCACAGCCATGTCTAACACTAAGTACATATTATTAATTATTTTGTAAGCATTGTAAACTCTCCCTGCCATGGGTTTTTTGGCACCAATTTCTCCTTGTTTTCAGCCAACTCCCCATTGACATGTCTTTCTAATTTGTTTTCTATGGCTACCTTTCTCCATACTTCCATTATGGATTAGAATTCTCATCATGAATGGTTGATTTGATGCGTATCTATGTTTCAACCACCTTCTATATATGGATGATTCGCAGTCCACTTCTCAGCACAAAACTCCCTCCTGAGTTCCCAGCATGAAATCCAAATGCCTGCTGTACATTTCCATTTGAATGTCCCATAGGTGTCAAAAAGGTAGTAAGTTCCGAAGGAAGTCCTTCTCTCATATCAGTTCTCCAACTCCTACTCTAGGAGTTACTCAAGTGAATAACACTACCACCCACCCAGTCACTCAGACCTGGGGCTGAGGCTCAACTCCTCCCTTTCTTCCTGCCACATCCAGCCTGTTTCCAAGTCCTGAGCATTTCACCACCCAAAGTGCCTTTAGAATTGCTCAAAATAAATCTACTTAATACATTTCTCAAAAAAATTCCCTTTTCTAGTTCCTTGCCCAAATCTTAGAATTTGTTTTCTGTTTTTGTTTTTTCTCATTTGTATGACAAGAATAGCCTCTCCATTGGTCTCTGTTCTGGTTACCTAGTGCCACTCTAATGAAAAATATACCACAAATAGGATGGCCTTAACTAACAGGTGCTTATTCTTACAATTTGGAGGCTTTAAGTCCAAGTTCAAAGTGCCAGGCTTTAGGGGCTGGGTGAAGGCCCCTCAATTCTGGGGTCCAGCTCTGCCTTCTGCTCCTGGCCCACTGGAGCTAGAAGTGTTTCTTCACTCAGACAGCTGCTGGTTGCTGAGGCTAGAAACCCAAGGTGAACAAGTAAAAAGGCACAGTCCCGATGTTACCAAACCACACGGCAGGCCATTAACTTAAGTCCATTCTAAGTCCCATGGTCGGCAGAGCATAGCAGGCTGCTGAGCAACAACATGGCTATATGCAGGGTCCAAGCATGCCATAGGCTAGAGACCATTCCCAAGACTTCTCCTTATATACAGGAAGCAGACCACATCCCAAAGGCAGCTACTCAGCTGCTTGTGGTAGATCCCACCATGGAGTTGATTGCCAATCTCATCATGGGGAATAACTATCACCAGATACCCAGCCACTCAAACAGACCCAGCCAAGTTGACACACAAACATAACTACCACAGTCTCCTTATTTTCACTACCTCTAATTCACAGAGCACATTATACAAATAACCATGTGTTCTGGTTACCTAGTGCTGCTATGACAAGAATATACCACAAATGAAATGGCCTTAACAAACAGAAGATTATTCTCTTACAGTTTGGAGGCTTTAAGTCTGAGTTCAAAGTGCCAGGCTCTAGGGGCTGGGTGAAAGCCCCTTGACCTTGGGCTTTAGCTCTGCCTCTTGCTCCCAACTAGAGGCTTTTCTTCACTCAGATAGCTGCTGGCTGCTGAGACTGACAAGCCCAAGATTGACAAGTAAAAAAGCATAGTCCTGATGTTACCAAACCACACAGCAGGCCATTAATTCAAGTCCATTGTAAGTCCCAAAGTTGGTAGAGCAAGGCAGGCTGCTAAACAACAACATGGCTACATGCAGGGTTCAAGTGTGCCATAAGCTAGAGACCATTCCCCAAGGCTTCTCCTTATATACAGGAAGCAGACCACATCCCTAGGGCAGCTAGCTATTCAGCTGCTTGTGGTAGATTCCACCATGCAGTAGATTACCAGCCTCATCATGGGGAACACTACCTCCAGCTGCCCAGCTGCTCAACCAGACCAAGCCAAGCTGACACATAAACTTAACTACCACACCGTGGTATTATAAAATGCCATCTATTTAATCATGTTATTATCTTATCTAAAATCATTTAAATGTTTTCTCATTACTTTTAGGATGAAATATTAAGTCCCTATTAACTATGACACGCAAAATACTTTAGGACCCAGAACCTACCTACCAGGCCAGCATCTCTCCCATCCATCCCTTCATGTTCCTGCTATAATGAGCTATTTGCAGTTCCCAAGAGAAGTGTTAAGAAGAAAGGGAGGGAGGGAAGGAGGAAGGAAGGAGAAAGAAGGACTAAAAACTATACTAAATTTGAAAATGTTGAAGAAACTAGAAAAAAAGGAGATGGGAGCAGGGCATGAAAGCTGTCTTCAAATATGTAACTCATGGACCAGAGATCAGCTGATTCTGTATAATCCTAATGTGTGTAACCTGAATCAATGGTTGGAGATACAGGGAGAGAATGATGCAAGAAAGATTTCAACAAGCCAGTATCATACACTTTCACAAAGTAAACCAACCAGGAAACTAGATCATTTATCACTACTTGGAAAGATAGACAGGGAGGAGTCCTGGCAAGATGGTGGAAGAACTACTCAGATCCTCTGCACCAAAGCAATGAGAAATCAATTGAAACCAATACAGAAGATGATCCAGGAACCCTGAGTTTAGCAGGGAAAGATAAAGAAGCAAATTAAATACCAAATTGTAGAAGATGCTGAATGAAATAGTGAGCAAGGACACAAACAGCTGTGGACTGCTGGCTTGACTCTGTCCTGAGAACACAGCCATTTTGGATATATCCCAATGGCAAACTAAGAATTGGCTCTGCTCACCAAGGTGTAATGGGCAAAGACTGCACTGATATCTGACAACCAGAAGGGAGAATAATGAGTAAGGGAATAGGTGGACCCATGGATGCCAGTAGTTGTTCTGAGGGCACAGCCATTTTGGATGTTTCCAAGCAGCCAGCACAGCTGTTTTGAGTGTGTGTGAATGATGTTCTTGCTTGGACTGTGACCTGGGACTAGGCTCCACCTGCTGGAGACAGCACCAGCAATCTGACTGGAGACTAACAACTGGAGACTTGGGATATTTCCCTTGTTACTCTTGTGCCCTGGGCCCTCTTGGTGAACAAGGATGTGGCCACCACTACTCCCCACATCCACCTTCTTGACTTGCAGGGTTTCATCCCAGTCTGTGCCCTGGCAGAGCCTGGGTGCCTTGCCCCACTCCCCACAGTTTTGTTTTTATTTATTTTGAAGTTATTCTTTTTATCTTCTGCTGTTTCTTCCTCTTATTTCCCTCTTTCCCATCCCTGGTTCTTTTCTTTGTTTTTTTTTTTTTTTTTCTTTTTTCTCTTCCATTTTCCTGATTTCCTTCTTTTTCCTTTCCTTTGGTTCTTCCTATCCCTT